GCGTAGAAGAGATGCCCATCGAGAACTTTGAAGAAGCCGCCCTGCTAGCCACTCACGAAGATCGCCCGCGCCGGGCAGACTGGATGGAGATGCTGCAGCGGAGGGACGACCAGGCTGAGCTGAGGCGACGGTACGAGGAACATAGGTCTTGGGGTGTCGGAGCGTCAAGCTGAGAGAGAGCGGTAGCAGGCGTCCAACGCCTTTAGAGAGGAGATACATGCAGAGCAGACATGTACTGCCACGTTGACCTAGAGAGAACCTGAACACCCTAGAGCCTACCTTGTATGTTTCTATCGCGATGTAGTTTGTAGACTTGTTTAGTTTTGTTCTCGTATGAAGTGCGGCGGATCTTACATCAATCGCTGGATAATGACAACGTCGTCTCTGATTTAAAGCCTATTGTAGAACTACCTCTAATACCCCAACTTCGCCACCCTTTCCTTGCCCAAGATATCCGCGAGACTAACCAGCTTGAAGCTGGCCTCCTCCGCAGTGCCCCCTTCAGCCAGCTCATTAGCATCGTCATGCGTGACGAAAAGCCCGCTCGGGAAGTCCTTGTTCAGCGCGTTGCCCACAGCCGCACATCCGTCCGTATTACTAACGTGGTCGATGCCCTTCGCCTTGTTGTCAACGATAGTGAACGTCTCCACGTACTTGTGCGGGACCGCGCGCTCGTATATCAGATATGCGGAGATGCCCTGCGACGAAACGATGATGTAGCCACCCGGACCTGACTTGGCTGGTACAAGCGTGATGCCCTCGACGTCGGCGTGGAGACCGCTGGCGTCGCCTACTTGCGCGATCTGAACACCGGTATTCGAGCCAGTGGGTTCGGCTTCGTAGCGCCAGATGCCGAGTGGTTCTTCGCCGATGAAGAGGTAGCCGGCGCCTTCGTCTGCGACGCAGCCTTCGACTTGGCCGCCTGAGCCGCCTTGAAATTCGCGGACGAGCGTAGTCTGTAGGGTACCGTTCGCGGTCGCGCTGAGTTCGTACTGTAGGTATTGCGCATTCTTGTTGTTGACGAAGAGGTACTCTTTTCCGGTAGTCGGAGAGCGGTAGTTGCAGGAGCCGTAAGGTTCGTAATCTTTCGGTAGCAACTGTTTACCACCAGAAATGGTGCTAAGGTAGCCTGTGCTGTTTACTTCGACCAGGCTTGGCGATGTGTTAGCAGATGTTCTGAGAAGTCATGCGATGGTACTCACCACATGGTATTGTCACCGCGGCATGCTGCGAATGCGAGATCGACCTTCCGGGAACCGAGAGTGAAGTTGTAGATGACATCGACGTTGTTTGGCTCTTCAGCCGTCAGGTGCTGAAGGAGATTTCCCTGCAGATCGAAGACACCAAAGCCTTCGCCATCTTCAGACTTTGTTGTGGTAATGATCTTGCTCTGGTCTGGTCGAGTGGAATGGATCCAAATCGCAGGGTCGTCGCCGTCTCCGCCGTTTGCATCAGTCTCGAACTTTGCGGTGACCGCGACGAACGAGCAGTCTGGGCCAGTCCACCCATCTTTGCACTTGCAGATATTTGGGCCAGTACACTTGCCACGTCCAGAACAATCGTTTTCGCAGGTGACGTTGGAGCAATCGCGACCAGTAAAGCCGGCAAAGCAGAAACAGTCCTTGCCTGACACGAAGCCATTGTTGGAGCACTTCTTGGTGACGGAGCTTTCGCAGTGCTTGCAAGCCTTGTTCTTGGGACTGTACTGTGTGTTTGGCTTGATGCCAATGGATTTGAGCGCGCCGTCCAGAGAACCTACAGCTAACCCAGTATCGTCCTCTCCCTCAAAAGCGAAGGCGAATGCGCCAGATGGGTATCCAGCAACTGAAGATTGAAGGATGGCGAGCGAGCCCTCAATAGAAAGATCAGAGATGCCGCCCAATGCGATGCTTCCCTTCTGCTTGATGTCGGAGTCGTACACATCGATGACCTCGTCGTGGGCTACGAACAGATAGTCGGCGGATGCGCTGTGGTAGGTAGCAAGTCCCGCAACTTCGATTTCCTCAGTGACAGTCTCAATTTCGGGTGCCTGGATAGACTCCGACGCTTGGAAAGAGTACAAGGGTAGATCTTCGGCCGAAAAGAAGATCCCGCCATTCGCGAACACGGCGCAAGTTTCGCCTTCGATAGCAACGGGAAAAGTTTGAACCTATGACCTTTGTCAGTATTACTGCCTTTGGCCACGATCAATAGACAACAGTACCTCCAGGATCTCGACCCGGCTTTTGTTGCTCCGAATCAAGAATTGCACAACCATCTTCTTTCCGAAGAGGAAGATGTAACTTTGTCCGCTCTTGCCACTACGCCACACGCACGCAGTACTCCAGTCCCCCAGCTGCTTCTTGTTATTACTTTCGATCATCTGCCCACTCTGAGCGTCGAAGACCCTGATCAAAGAATCTGGAGCTGGGATATTGACGATCAGATCCCTACCGTCGATGTCGTGAACAACGACAGCAATCTTCGAGCGACCAGTCTTCTGATGCGACTTCTTCGCAAAGCTCGAGGAATTGGAGACAGAGAATGTCCGGAAGCCACCATCGGCAGCACTTCCATCATTGATGACCAGTACAGGCGATTTGCCGTAGACGAAGTTGGTATTGTCGCCCTCGAATCCAGTAGCGGCTGCGACAAGTGTGACGTTGGCGTTTTGGGCTGCGACGAACGATGTAATCACACTCGCCCATACGAGGCATCGCGCGAACGTTTTCATCTTGTGGCGGATGTTGTCAAGATCAATGAGGGCGGCCTGACTCCATGAGCCTGGTCGTCGAGGCCGTCTTATATCCCAACATGTCTCCCAGTAATGGGCTGAACCTAGACTTCCCGCTGATCCATGTGCATATGCAGTCCATGTCATTCAAGCCCCTCGGGGCTCCGATGCTTCGAGGAATAATCCACAAAACTACGCGATATTGTCGTTAGGGGCGCGATGCATGGTGTGCCTGCTGCTTTGGGTTAGGTCGGGATGGCTGAGCGGCCAATAAAGATGTGTGCTATTGAAACGTGAGACGGCCGGGCAAGATTCGAGGCCGGGATCAACATGAGGAGAACGGAGGAAGGATGGAGACCTGGCATGGCTTTGAGGTGTGAACATGCACTTGAAGAATTGTGGTGACATGCCAGGCTCGAGCAGAGGGTGATGCTATGTCTACCAAGTTAGAACAATTGGAGATTGTGTGCCACACGAAAGGCGATAAGCCTGATCGCGCTTTAGCTTGATTATGATTAGAATTGGTCCTTGTCCTGCGGGTGGACTCTGACACGGATGTAGACGTAGATCAGAAGTTGATGGGTTGATACTTGGGCAGCTTCCAGTACCTGGTCTTCTTCTCATATCTCGTCGGCATCTGCAGGCGCGTTCCGCAGGTCTTGTTTCAAATGCAGAGCTGGAAATTCACGTTCCTGGAAAGTTTGCTGTGCGCGGATAGAGGTCATTCTTGGTGTATCTCTGCGAGATTGAAAGACCTCGGGAAGATTGTGAGAACGATGACGCGCGCGGTGCCAAGGCGCAGATCCGCACCCGTGGCACCAACAGACGCGACAGGATAGTAACACGACCCCGACGACATCGCGCAACGATTCCTTCGAATACACGCCTGCTGGCAGAACAATCGCGAGCCCCTGTACAATTTCCCGGCTACCTACTCACGTTCATCCCACGTCTCCCGCTCTTCCGACGCGCCGCACCCGTCCGCACGATAAGCCATCTCGGCAGTATTCCCACTATCATCTCTCCACGATCAAGCGCGATGCTTACAAGGGCAATACTTGCGTCAAAAACACCAGAGCTCGAGTCGCAGGAGATGTAGACGTGCTCGGGCTTCAACTGCCCTCGCCAGACGGGTTGAACAGCGTACGCCACCAGGGACATACCGTAGCATGCGTCTATGTTCGGAATTGGCCGCATGACTTTCAGCTCTGCGCTACAGCCATGCAATGCCGACGTTGATCGCACGCTGTTACGAATGTACCCTTCGGTCACAATGATTACCTTGGAAGGACGCACCTGGCAACACCGACACTTGATCGAGTCGCGGAAGACTGCTCAATTCAGTGAGCCTTCATGGCACGCGTATTGAACTGTAGCTGGCAGATGGATTATGGCAGACTTGAAGGGACGAAACACATGACACAGTGATCGATAACTCGTCTGAAATCCGTATGGAACATTCGAGCCCAACCCCTCGGCACTCTATACCCTTCCTCCTGTGACGGCGCGGCACTCTGGTGGCTCCGAATTGCATCTCCACACGGCGAGAGAAACTCTCTCAGGCTTGCCACACACTCGAGGATCCCAAGTAGCAAAGGACCCCGTGGTCTTGATGCCAACGAGTAGTCATACAGCCCCACCAATTGTATCGACGCGGTGATTGAGTTGATTACTCTCCATTCGCGACCCCGCCTTCTACGCGTTGCAGCATGCACGATACACCCTGGCCATCTGTGCATCCTTAAATTGCCCTTGCGAGATCCAAGAATACAAATTGTCCGGGGAAAGGCACCAAGAATGCTTAGCTATCGGTACATTCGCGATGGATTGAACCACTACCTTTAATTCGTTGCTCGCAAGCTAACCCCGCACTGTACCTTTAGCGCCACGGCTCTTGACCTCATATACCGAAGTATAATCACTTGGCAACGCTGAAATATCCATACGAAGCGCACTACGCCGAAATGCATATGACTGGGATACCATTTTGGGAGCTTAGCTGTGCGACGAAGTGACAGCCTGATCGCGTCCATCAATGAGTCCTCAACCCCCAAGGCGGACCAGATATCCATCAATCCGTCAGAGATTATCGCATGATCAGTTCCTCATATTGCATGAGCTCATTGTCGGGCTTCGGGAGACTGGGCAATATGCATCGTGTACTTTGCACACAAGCAAGGCCAGGATCGAAGCCGTGAAACAATCCTATAAGTTGGCAGCATCATGTACTCCAGTAACTGTGTGACATCCCACATCCTTCATTCAGCTCACAGTCTTCCCTTTCATCATGTTGTCGACTTCGAACCTTGCGGTGTTTCTGGGTGTTTGCGCCTCCCGCGCATCCGCCTGGGTCATTGGAACGGAGCAGTCCGAAACTCACCCAAAGATGACCTGGCAGCGCTGCACAGGCAGCGGTGGCAACAGCTGCACCAACGTCAACGGTGAGATTGTCATTGATGCTAATTGGCGCTGGCTTCATTCCGTTGGAGGCTACACCAATTGCTTCGACGGAAACGAGTGGAACACCACGGCGTGTGCGACCAACGCCGCATGTACCAAGAACTGTGCTATCGAAGGCTCAGACTACCGTGGTACCTACGGCATTACGACCTCTGGCAATGCTCTTACTCTCAAATTCGTTACCAAGAACCAATACTCTACCAACATTGGATCACGCACGTACCTCATGAAAGATGCAAACAACTATGAGGTAGGGCAGCGCACCAGATCTAAGTATGACACAGACGCTGATCGTTGCTGTTTGCTGTTTAGATGTTCAACCTTATCGGAAACGAATTCACCTTCGACGTCGACAACTCGCAGTTGCCATGCGGTCTCAATGGAGCATTGTATTTCGTTTCCATGCCCCAGAAGGGCCACGGTGCGCCCGGTGCAAAGTACGGGACTGGTAAGTCACAGGGTTCGCCATTCATAGAGCATGAACTGATACATTCCAGGTTACTGTGACGCTCAATGTGCTCGAGACCTGAAGTACATCGATGGCAAAGCCAACGCAGAAGGTTGGCAAGCATCCGAATCTGACCCCAATGCGGGTATTGGCAGGAATGGTGCATGCTGGTGAGTACGCTAGACTGCTCGGCCTGGCCCATTCTGACGCAACTCAGCACCGAGATGGACATATGGGAGGCAAACTCAGTCTCCACGGCTGTGACCCCACACTCATGTCAGCCTGAAGGCTACTCAGTCTGCACGGACGATACATGTGGTGGAACATACTCGCTCGATCGCTATGCCGGCTCTTGCGATGCGAATGGTTGCGACTTCAACCCATACCGTGTCGGCGCGAGGGACTTCTATGGCAAGGGCAAGTCTGGTGTAGACACATCAAAGAAGGTGACAGTCGTCACACAGTTCTTGGGATCTGGAGGATCGCTCAGCGAGATTAAGCGCTTCTATGTGCAGAACGGCAAAGTCATCGCCAACCCGGAGCCTACAGTCCCTGGCATGGTATGTGCTCACGTCACCGAGCCTTATGAACTCCGTTCTGACAATCGCGCAGACAGGCAACTCGATCACCCAAGAATGGTGCAACACGCAGAAGGAAGTCTTCCAGGAGGAAGTCTACCCCTTCAACGAGTTCGGCGGCATGGAGTCTATGGGCAGGGGCATGAACCTGGGCATGGTACTCGTAATGAGTCTCTGGGACGATCACTACGCCAATATGCTTTGGCTTGACAGCAGCTACCCTACTGATAAGGATCCAGAGCAGCCTGGTGTCGCCCGCGGCGAGTGCGACGTCAACAGCGGCGTGCCAGCCGATGTAGAGTCTGCTAACCCGAATGCGCAAGTCATCTTCTCGAACATCAAGTTCGGGCCCATCGGCAGCACGTTCGCGCAGCCTGCTTGAGTTTATCAGGACACATATGGATGGCCCTACGCAGCCTCATCGGTTACCGCTTGTACATAAATCTGTCTGATCATATCATTCGCTTCATTCTGATCAGAGACACGGAACAATCAACGCTGTACAATTCTAAAATACACTGTAGGCAATAAACATTCGTTCAGGAATGCGCACACTTGACTCTAGCGCTTTCACCTTTGGCGGTGTGTATTCACAGTGAAATACTGGTCGGGGCAGGATGGGCTGCTGTCAGCTCAAAGGAAAAATGCCCCTAATTCTGTTCCTCATTAGCATGTTAAAACATCCTTGGAGCGAAGCAAGAGCTTCTAATAAATAATCCAACCCTCCCGAAGTCCCCTTTACAGCACATGATAACACCATGGCTATGGACCTACAGCTCGAAGAAACATCACAACAATCAATTGCACAAACTACGTTAGCCATACCAGAGCTCGCGGAAAATATCCTGAACCGTTTGCCGGATATTCGCGATCTAATTCATGTTCGGGCAACTTCAAAGGTCTTAAAGACCATCGTCGACGGAACGCCCAGCATCCAACGCCGCTTGTGGCAGCTTCCCATCCCAGTTCGACATGACGAAGACCCACATTACCCAGATTTACCACAGATCATGTCAACGTATCATCTCAAGCTGAGCTGCCAGGAGGTGGAATGGGCCTTACAGGGGATTCGTCGCATGGAATGGGATTTTTATGACGCAATCGAGGCAGGCGAGGATGAGGTAATCGCAGCCGTGGCGCGAGAGCTGCAATGGGAACGTCTATGGCGTCCGTTCGAGAAACCTAACTACACGTTTTCCCTTCAAACTTTCTTCATTCTAACACCTCAGCAACATGCGTTCAGGTGCGACAGTTGCCGGCGTCTTCACCCTCCATACGCCGCCTCGGGCTTGCATCCAGCTCTCCGCTTCCTACACAAACACGAAATCTGCGGTCGAGGCTATGGTTCAGAACTGCTCTTTCGCTTCGCTCTTGGGAATTTCGGAAGTGCAGACTACCGAATGGGGCCTGCATTGGACGAAATCGAGGGTCGCATGGCTGGCCGCAATAATGTGTACGTTCTAGCGTTGTTTGCCAGGGCTGTGAGCGACGCTTACGAAACCGCAAAGCAACGCGGTATTCTTCAACATTATGTCATGGCGCCCGTATGCACGAGGCTCATTCTGGCTTGCGTCGAAGGCCCCGACCCCGTGGGTCTGGGGAATACCATTATTCGTGATCAAGATGGCCTCAAGTTGGGGCAAGTGCTACGCGCTCTTCTGCGATTTTGCGACATGACCTTTACGCGCGGTCGCGCTAACGTGCTGACTGTCAACGAGGCCTATGTCACCGGTGGAATATATGCTGAGACATCGAAGGAGGACAAGGCCTATATCGCCCGGCTGTACGATGAGGCACAGGAGGAGTTATCCTGCTTGCAGGAAGGTTATTTGGAAGAAGATCAAGCAGCTCGTGGTTGAGGTAACAGATGCGCCCAGATCTCGCAGCGACTGATCCTGTATCTAGAAGCAGGAACTCTCGCGTTATGGATCATGATCTTCTTTCTTTAATCTCGAGCGTTCGTTTCGGTATACCAGAGTCTGGTGTCGCATGGCCCAACCAAGTTCGTTTTCACTGAGATATCGACATCAGCGTCACAACGGCAAACACGAGCGTCTGCTTCGTATGGAGTAAACGCAATCTGTTTTCGCATGACCGAATACAAATACTTCCATGCCCTCTCTTGTCATGTTCGTGCGTGCCCAGCCTGTATTCTTTTCTCCACATCTTTACTGATTTGGCCCCAATTCATCACTATCATCGCTGGCAAATCAGCGTACTCTTCGCCCTAGCCTCTTCTCCCCCACTGTTAGCCAGGAGTGCCTGCAGCATCTACCGAAGATGCTTGAAGATCGTGTGGAAGGTGTGACACGTTGTTGGTTTCCGTGCCCATGCGACGACCTAGAGGAGGATCAGTGCGATTGCTGCTTGTGGTAATCGCATGCGAGGATGGGCCACAAATGCCCAGGTGGTGTTGCATGAGGCTGCTTGGGCGGCAGTGATGACGTAGCTGCCTCCTGAACCTGGCACTAGCGCAATTTGGATTAGCTCAATGGGGACGGATTCCGGTTCCCGAGGTCTGACCGGAGCGACCGCCGCAACTACTTCTCGACATCCCATACACTATCGCAATCAGCTCTTGCTACTGCATGCGTTCATCATAATCATCCTGGTGTTCTGCGATAGTATGTCAGACGCTTGTGACATGTCCAGGTGTCGTTTAAAGTGTTGGCTGAGCATGAGGCAGAGAGATGCACACTTCAGCCTTCACTTGGCCTGCCCATGGTCGATTCGTGACCTAGCCAAAGCTTGATGGCAATTATCTTGTGGTCTATACCCTCTCGTGAGTGTAGTAAGTCGAAACAGCTCCATCTTATATCTGACTAAGCGCCAGCTGTTTACTCGACGCGTAATACAAGAAGTCCCCAAGCCTTCGTACCACGCGATCATGTCACCACTGTGTAACGCGTTTGCCCGCTTCGTATAAACCGTCCCTTGCCTCAATTGCTGCCCTGGTTCCTTCTTCACCGACCCCCTCATCACCATGGATTACCCCATCGTCGAGTCGCGCTCGGCTGTGCAGCAAGTCGCGACGACAACTGAACTTCTCGCTGCAATCTTCATACATCTCAGCATACTCGATCTACTGCATGTGAAGCAGGTTTGCAGGCAATGGTGCGACTGTGTTCGAGACTTAGGCGAGCTGCAGCCTGCCCTTTACAAGCGCGCCACACCGGTGAAGCCTGGAGATAATCCGCACTTCAAGCCTTTAGACGAAGCGCTCGCCGCAGAGAAGTCCCGCGGAGGACAGACATTCGGAGAAATGTTCATCAAAATCGGTCACGATCTTGAGCGGCGCCTAGATTTGTTAGTGGGATCCGGTACGGCAGATGGCAAGACCTTCGACAATCAAAGTGGATGGCTCAGGCAACTTGATCACTACAAAACCGCGTTTAACATGATTATACTTTGTCACCACTGGACACCTCATGGCCCCAATCGCTCGATCTCCCTTCATAGTGCCGCTCCGCGAGCAATGACTGAAATGGGTGGCGTCCATTGTGGTATATGTCATACGTTCCACTTCAGCTTCCAGTGGGATAGTTTGCACCCGATGCTTCGATTCCTGGAACACATCCCATTTCTATGCATCGACGGATACAACTCGACGATTGACATACGGCTCATAGGTCCAAATTTGCCTTACTCCACAGACATCGAGCCCAAATACCAGGTGTTCCAAACTGCCATGGACCTCGCAGAACAGGTGGAAGACGTGGATTCGATATGTACAACATCTGGGTTGAAACACGACATCGGCATTCAACCTTCTGGTCTCCGACTTTCGGCGGCAGTCGGTCACTCGCCTCATCACAGTTCCACAGGTACACTGAGACGATCGGGCTTGCTCATCGGCGACTTCTTAGAAGGACTCATGTGGTGCACGCGGAAATTGGCTCTCGATGTACAGACTGATACAAGGGGCGTCTTGAACTTTATTGTGGGATCGACGGAGAGGGGACTTAAAGCGGCGGAGGATCCAATCGAGCCAAATGCGCTTACAGAAGCGCAAGCCAGAGTCACGGCGATGAACGAGCGTATTGCTGTGATGGAAGCCCGCTCAACACTCTGGCGACAACAAGCATAGAGGGGGAAGGATCGGGTAGGCAAGGCGAGCCGTGGTTGTCTGCAAAGTACATGTAGATGCTCTAACAACCTCTGTGGAGATCACTTCCATTACTTATTGACCATGCATCCTCCAGAAGATTCCTCATCTTACGTACAACTCGTTACGACTCAGCGTCTTCCTGTGAGCCAAATTAAACCTCTTCGATTGAGATCTCAACAGGAATCGCTTTTCGCAGTTCAGACCGACAAATAATAACACGCGAACAGAGGCTGAAGAGGTCTTTGAGAAGTTTCGCAAAGTCGAAGTTATGTGTCTCTTTCTGACCCTCCAACAGATAGCGATCGATAGCCGGATCTAGCTTGGCGATCCCATCTATAGCCTGCACCAGACGAACATACATGCCGCTTTCATGGAAATCAAGGCGCTGGTCAAACCCGAACAGTCTCTCACGACATACAGGACAAGTGGCTTTGCCTGTCTTCAGATGATCCTCGAGACAGATGGTACCGTGAACATGGCCGCAGGGAGTACGGACAGCTGGCTCGGTTTTGTTCGAATGCGAGAAAGACACCCCGTAGTCGTAATAACAGGCATAGCAGCGGCGATCGGCCGCATCACTCGCCGCCATTACTTCATGGGTACACGGCGTAGTGAAGTCCGATACCGCTGGGTAGATTGGTGGTCGTTTACTAGGTGCGACCTCCCTGCTCGTGTCAGAGTCGGGGTCGTTGTCTTGAGAGTCGGATTGTACGATGTCCTCCATATTGTCGTTGTCTTCATCAGCATTGTGATCGTTTTCGCCTTCGGTGGCCTCGTTGTCATTCCCGTCATAAGATGAAGTTTCGCTGAGAGCAACGCTTCGCTCATCAAGCACCGCATCTAACTCACCGATGAACTCTGCTTGCTTGTACCGACAGCAGGTCAAGTATGAAACCATACTGATGAAACGGTCCCACTCCAAAGACGTATAGCTTCGAATGTATTTTTCATCGAGGTACTCTTTTTGTATTTGACCGCTCAGGCCCTTGTGTAAAGCTTCATACTCCAATGTAAGCTTATAGGAATGGCCTTCGGTTGGATACAGCTTTTGGCCTTCAGCTTGACGTTGCTTTATCCATAGCATTCGAGCCGCCAGGTAGGGGTTTGCGATAGACTCCTTGAATGTGTCAAGATCTAGACTGAAACGAACATTGTTAATGAGCCTGAAAAAGGGCTGACCTTCGGCGCGATACGCTAATGTTCGAGCGAACAGTGCTGCGTCTGCAGTATAGGCTCGATAGTAGTCTCTGGTTCTTTCTAATTTTGATACTGGCCATGAGTCGGAGAGAGAAATGATCTCCGTTCTCACTTCAGATAACAAATTAGACGCTACTCCTCGATCTAGATTGTCTAAAGAGACATAATTAGCCTGCATACGAGTGTACAAAGTCAGTACATGCATTTCGTTCATTTGGCTTCGGGAATTTACTAACCACGAACGTAAGCAACGGTTGAGCTTCTGCTGTGTGCACTGAGTCAAGATCGAAAAGTTGCAGCCCAACGTGCTGTAAGACTTTGAACAGTACCCGATTGATGGCCAATGCTGAACGCCGCAACAGTCCGATATGTTCTTCGAAGTCTTTCTGCGCGGCGAGATCCATCGTGTTCGTCGACTGTTGGTCCAGCACGACAGATTGACTGAAGCGCGTGAACGGGGCAGATGTATAGGGTGTGGATTGCTACTCTGTACCGTTTGTTGATCGAGCAGTCAGCGATATAGCAAACTTGTGGTTTGATAGCACCGTAAGATGGTCGAAACATGAAAGAATCCGTCAAAGAAATACCCACTCGTGAGTGGAGTGATGAAATCATATAGTTGCCGAGCTGATGTAGCAAAGCAGTCTCTGTGGTATGCAAAATTTCACGTGAACACTCTGGTATAACACCCCATCGCCAAGTGGTGTTGCCATCAACGTAGGCTACTGTGCAAACTTTGGGGTAACTCTCATAGGACGAGTATTGATCAAGATAGGTGCACGTCTTCGTATGACAGCCCAACACGAGACTGGCAAGCCGACGCATCGTCTCAACGTGTGGGCAAAAGGAGAAAACGCATCAGGCTCCAGCGTAGAAATAAGGACAGGTGAGCGTAACAGCTTCGACAGCCGCTACGAGCAGTTTTGGTATTTTGTCTTGCATCGACTACTGCTCCTCAACGGGGCGATGGCTTGGCTTTACATCGCATGGTCTTCGCCGGCCACACACTGCAATTGAGTTCGCGATTGTTCGGTCCTTGTAGCCTGGTGGTTTCAACCTTGCTCAGAAAGTGCCGAAAACCAGGTACAGGCCAGGAAACATGTTGATCATGGTAATCGCGCCTACGAAGCTGGAAAGCTGTACCGAGACTCACGTTCGTCGACAGTCGTCGACATCCTGATACCAAAGCTTGAAACCGTGTGGGAACGATGAAATCGCAGCATGAAGTGTGCTAGTTGCTATACGATAGATGGTCATAAGGCGTCGATGATTTCAGCGGTCATGGCAAGACTACCTAGGTAACGGCGCGTCTGCTGGTGATTAGGCAAGTGCCGGTCAAACAAGATACCAGTATTTGTAAATCATGGCAAGGATACTGCAAGGATGCAATAGACCAAATGTAGTGGAAGTACTGCCCGGGCACAATCGGAGAGCGCCAGCGCACCTCGTGACGACACGCCCGGGTTTGAGGGTCGCATGATCTGGTGTCGCATAAGTATTGGCTGCAACCTTCGCCGGATGATGATCGCAAGAACGTGATACTCACCGCCATAGTCACTCTATATATTGTCGTTAGCACTTTAATTGTCTGATAAATACTAAATTCAAGAGTTTGAACGCAACACTTTGTCTCCCCCGTCGATGTCGAGAGCCTGAGGTGCGACATCTGCTTTGCCCCGCCGCCCCGCCACCCCGCCTCCTCGGCTGTGGCGCCCGTTATCGCTTATCGCGACATTTCCGCATCCGTCTTCGGCGCGTCATCTGCTCCTTCGCGTCGACACGCCTCAAAGGGCGGGCAGCCTCCCCCGGGAGTGTCTTACTTATCTCGAGCCTAAGGATAAAGAGCTTCGTCTCCGCTCACTGGCGAAACGCGTAGTCACTTCTTTCACCCTACCCGGGCCAACACCGACCGGACGCTCATCAGGCGGCACAACTACACCATTCTCACGTCACGATCTCCATCAAGAAGCAAGAAGCGAGACCTCATAGATTAGCCGTCCGAAAGCCTCGAAGAATCTTTCGTCCCATAGCGCCAGGCGATAGTTGCATCACTATACCACCACTAATATTCCGATCGACCCTCCGTAGTACACCATGCCGAGCTCACCAACGCAACCATTCCCTCTCTACCTATTCCCTAGCCTTCCCTTCCGCCGCCGCCGAAGCTCTGCCATCAGCACCTCGACCGCTTCCACATCTCCGTCCTCGTCCCCACCCCAGCCGACCTCTTTCTTGACGGCCCAACCGAACTCACATCTGCGCTGTCAGAAGTGCCTAGCCGACCTCATCCCCACGTCGGCTATCATAAGCAAAGGGTTCACTGGGCGTCATGGTCGCGCATACCTTGTAGGACCTCCATCGGCATCCAGCGCGTTTGCTGGCGGTGACATGTCAGCGACAGGCTGGAAGGCGGGCGACCTACCGAACACTTTGACGCACAAAGCCCACGCTCGTCAGCTCGTCACGGGTGCGCATACCGTTTCCGATATTAGCTGTCGTAGCTGTGGTACCGTGTTAGGATGGAAGTACGTCGATGCTGCTGAAGAGACTCAGAAGTACAAGGTCGGCAAATTCATACTGGAGACGAAGAGAGTCGTCAAAGGCGCGGAGTGGGACGAGAGCGTAGAAGAGGAAGACAACGGCATGGTGCTGGAGAAGGAAGGTGACATTGAGTTCGATTCGCAGGACGAAGACGAATGCGAGGACCTCTTCAGCGGCATCTGGAGCCCCCAACTTGCGAGCAAGAGGAGGAAGCGCCGTGCCTACGGTGACATTGACTTGTCGGTGTGAGCTTGTCGACCCTTCTAAATCTACACTACGAATGCTTATGAGCGTATACTACGACGCATACCCCACAACTCGACACGAGAAACGAACGAATACCCCGGAAAGATAGATACACTTCCATTTTTGATACCCAGGAAAGGCGCATGGTGTGGCGTAATGGCTTGCTTTTGCTCAAAGACATGTGTATGTACCTAGCTTATGAATCATGGTACACCACGATAATTTCATCGTCACCAACTTGTCCACAAACAGATCTTTCCATGCATCAATGTCTCGTGAGTCATGACCCGGGTTAGTAAGCTGTCAAAGCTGCGATACTCTCGCTTCCCCAGGACAGCAAATATGCCGCGTTACAACTTCGCACTCGCGCCCTTCTCTACCTTTGCCACCTCGGCAACCTCATTCGAGCTCTCGGGATTCCACCCAGCAATCAAGTCCTCTACAACATTGATCTCATCCTGTCCCCACACCAACCCGCCAACTGCTTTCCATTCGCCCGCATCTGTTTGCCTCAACGCACGATACGTAGGTACGCCGCAAAGACCCAGGTCTTTTGCCTCTGCAGTCAAAGTCCGTAGTTTGGCTTTGACATCGGGCTCGTTCGCGCGCGCGATGAGGTCAGCACCATTGAAACCACCTTGGTCAAGAACACTGCGGAGGACAGAATCGTCCGAGACGTTTTGGTTGTGGGACCAGCATGCTTCGACTGTGCCTGATTAGCATGTTGCATGGAACTCGTTAGGTGTACACGAAACAATCGAGAGTGCAACTGACACAATAATTTCGTAGTCTCCGGCTCCACGATAGCAACCCTCAACACAGTCGGCGTCCGAATAGGGAACGTATCCGCCCAGTGGAACTTGACCTGTCGACCGCCATCCTGCGCACTGACAGCATTCCAGTACTCCGTCCAGTCCGCATGATCTTGTCTCGACCACTTCGCCTTCGTAGGACTAACTGCCGACCCTGGTAGATTCGGCGCGCCGATCTCTCTAAACAGGATACCGAGTAGGAATGGCTTCATGACAACCTCCAGTCCCGAACCAAAGTTACTCTTCAGTCTTTCCAGTTGCGTGTACCCCAAAAACGCCCACGGACTGCTGAAATCGAACCAAAACTCCAGCTTGACACGTCCGTGAGGAGTGTTCTTCGGCACGCAGCGAGGCATCAGACTTTTGAGTCCAGGGACATCACTCCACTGCTTCCCCTTCTCGGAAGAAGAAAGCGCAACCAACGTCGCCTCAACAAAATGCATACGATCCTGCCCCCAAAAGAACCTCCCTTTCTTCTCCTCGCCACAAGCCCCCGTCCACACCGCATCCGAGATCCAGAACCCTGGAACACCAAAAGCACCCCTCTGAATCGCTTCTTCGGTACTCTTTTCCAACTCTTTTCTCGCGTTCACATCAGCAAAACACTCTTCTCCCAACCCTTGCACCCCACCCCACATTCCCTCGCAATCTGCAAAAGCGTTGTGTTGGAATTCACGTCTTGGCCGTCTACCCAATAAGCCTGGAACAGCCTATCCGTAAGCAACCTCCTCTTTTCCTGGTCTTGCACACAGTACAACAAACGTAGTGCATTGACTGTTTTGCGGGGGTGCTGTGGCGGTGGATTGTATCTGATGTTGTATCTGCGGAGTGTGCGCTGCATACCCTGTGCTGTAACGGCCTTCTTCGCTGAGTTGAAGACATCAGAGGCGGAGCCGCCGGCGCCTTGGGGCGCGGATGTTGCGCGGTAGATGGCGCCTAGCAGGACGGGTTTGTAGATTAAATCTGCATGCGTGCGTTGGGCAAGGGATTGGACGCGTGTGGAGGCTATGTATGCGAAAGGGCAGGAGATGTCGTAGTTGAACTCTAGGGTGGGGGCGGTTGGCGGCATGGTGGTAGAAGTTGGGTGGTAGTTGACGGTTAGTTGGTAAGATACAGCAATGAGGTATGTATGTAGATGAGTTAGTCTACAGACGCGAAGCATGAGTAAGCTTGGGCGACTGTTAGCTTCAGCTCGGTATACTGTAGCGTAGATGTGGGGTAAGTTCAGGTACAGCCGAGGTTCATATCCGCAGGAACACCAACACCTTCTATCGTGGTACTGACTCTGAACATTGATATATTTATAGTATCTACCTCTTGCGAACGATGTCGTAGTCTACCACACGTGATCGATCCCTCTAGTCTACGCATAGTTGAAGCTAGTTCTGCAGAGTGGACAGCTCGAGGCATCACTGCTCTTGAACCACTTAAACAGACAAACGCCATGGAACAAGTTCTTGCAAGTGTGACACTTCTTGTCAGGCAACTTGCGATCGGATCCGACTATACTATAGCAGATCGCGCATTCGATCTGGCCCTTGAGCGCTCCATCGACGTTCCTCTTGAATGTGGTCAGCGCGTCGATCAGGCTGCCGTTGAAGATCGTAATAGCCCCCAGAGAAGTTCTCAGCCATGATTGCCATTTCTGCTCGTTGACGGCAACGCGATTCAGACCTTCGATATGGGCATTTGCGAGAGGGAATGCGGCAGGCAGAGAAATCCTCATCGCCATGGTTTGTTCGTCGACAACGTAGGACGCGGTGATTTCGCGTGCGCGGTTAACGACCTTGACCGCGAATGCTGAATCGGGCTCAGATGCGGCCTGTTCCTCCGACCATGTGTTGACTGCGTTGAGGGCGGCAACAATCACAGGTGGTGACACGTACTTCTCCGTCCAAGGCTCGAGCGCGACGACTATGGCGCGCGACTTGCAGCTCTTGAACCAGGTCTTTGTCAGAGATGGGACGTCGCGCAGACACAAGAAGTACAGGTGTGTAAGTAGCCACTGCAGATCGCGCTTCGGAGGCTCAACATCTGCTTCGTATGTCGTGATGTCAAGTTTGGAGACGTCGACCGGCTTGTTGTGCGCGTGGCCAAGGAAGTCGAACATGAAATCGAGCAGACCTGGAAGGTATTCACCTTCTCTGATGTGCTCGACGTAGTCGTTCTTGACCTTGAAAGATGCATGTTCCAGGTGATCGAATACCAGCAACCAACTCAACAGATAACCGCGCAACGGCAACGGCACACTGCGTTCAAAGTTGGCATCGGCAATCGCCGCGACCGTAGGCGCATCGATGATCAGAGATAGCAACTCCTCGGGTAAACGCGCGGTAGTCTTCTCCAATGCCGCATCGATAGATATCTGCTCTTGAGCTGCGGGAATTTGCTTATGCAGGATGTCGAAGGCAGTTTGCTGAACAGGTTGCGACTCCACGTAAAGAAGAGGGAAAAGTTCTTCAGTGGACTCCAGATGCTTGAGCGACACCTTGGAAATCTGGCGCGCCAGCACATCATTGACCATCTTGAGCGGCTGATGGAACTCATCCGGAAAGTGCTGCGAGTGCTTCAAGATGTTGATAAGCCCATCAGCAACTGGTTGCTCGTTCTCTTTCCAAGCCTCGAGAAGATCGTCATTGGGCTCTTCAGCTTGCGTCAACGTTCGGAGCTGTGCGTATAGCTTTAGGGATGCGTGCACAAGAGGAATCGGGCTATCCATGCCGGACTCGTTTGACTCCAGCTCTTTCGTGGTCGCCCAGATTCCGGCAAGTGCACCCAAAATGCCAGCCCAGTGTTCGCCGTACATATCGCCGACTAATGGAAGCAATACTGTCAACGCGCGGCACAGTTCGGCCTTGACAGGACGGGAAAGCGTGTCTTCTTGTAGCCACGGTACAATGTGCTGGACAAACCGCATGAGACGAGGACCAGCAATGCTTTCCAAGATGCCCTCTTGACCCATGACACTGTTCAACAGAACAAGCTGCTGTAATGCCTCTTGCGACTTTTGCAGAGCATCGATGCCCGTCAGATCAGCGATGATCTCATTACACATGCGCTCACAAGACTTTGCATACGACAATGGCTCCTTGAAGGCGTTCAGCAACGCAACAAGTTGGATTACGTTCTTCGAACTTCGCGTCGTCTTGAGCGTTTCCTGAAGTTGGGTAGTTTGGGAGCTCTTCCAACCAGCAATCTCGATGGCGTCAGCGATGACAACAGCGTACGCTCTCGCATGATAATACGCGGGAGAAGTCGCGCTCGCGTCTATGCTTGCCAAGAGTTCGGGCGCCCAGGTCAATATCGAAGCGTCGGCATCATCCTTCGACCACGTCGCAACAAGGCTCTTTAGTTCGTGTGTCACAAGAGTTTGAGCATCCGAAATGAAGGTCATAGCCTCAGCTTCAACATCTGAGTTGTAGTGTGCCCAGAAGCCGTTCGCGCCAGCGAGACCAAGGTTGTCATCTGCAAGTTGTACGGCAACGGCGATGTTACGAAGATAGACGTCCCGAAGTTTAGAAGGGAGCTTATCCATGGAGAAGTAGTCAGGGTTCTTGAAAAGCCTCGCAATATATTGCGTGATTCTGTAAGCAGGAGAGTAGCCATCGGCGTCTCGGGACATGGTTCTGATCGTGGAGGGCATCTGTCCATCCTTCACAAGATATACGGCGCCACCAAGGGGATTTGTGATAGCCAGGGATGACTTCGGTACAGCATTGAGGAATGGCACTAGAGATGCATTCCAGTCGTCGATGCTTGGGAACACTTTAGCAGTCTCATCCCAGTCACTACCAGCTTTGACAGACTGCTTTGCCAAGTCAACCAGAGTCTCGACCGAGACCGATGTGGGCGTCGCGTCTCGCAACCCTTGCTGAATGAGATTGTAGATAGATTGCTTGGAATCAGATCCGGATGATAGTATTGTCTGGATGGAAGCATTGACGGCTTTAGCGCCCTGTGCCACTTCATCATCTGGAGACTCAGAGGCGAGAAGTAGGCCTTGCAGAAGGCCGGAGCCTTGAGGACTGGCGACAAATTCTCGGAGCATCGGCGGGTTTGATTTGACTATTTGACGTAGGCCCTGCAATGAGTACGGAGCCTGGTGCGATATCGAGAGGGTTTCCGTCATGTAAGCGAGGATCTCATCTGTTGTTTCCGAGGAAAGTATCTTCGCTGGCGATTGAAGCATACGGTTGAACGAATCCCATTCGGTAGAACCTTCTACGGCTTCGCGTACGTTCGCAGTAATGTACTTCTGCAACTCAGGGTCCGAGGTTGCAAGATCGAAGGAGGGCGGAATCCTGGAAGAGGTAAGAATTGCTTCGAGCGCCTTAGTCTTCGCTGGAGAATCTGTCTCTTTTAGGACAGTCTTGAGTGACGCGCTCCATGCGTCCTTGAAATACGCGCGATCGGACTTGGTGTATAGTATGTCGATCAGGTATGAAGACGAAGGAGACAGCACTAGACCTGGGAGATCCTGTTGTATGAATGACTCTAGATCTTGTTCGGATTGGGTAGATGAGATCAAGCTAGGATTTCGTTTCGGCAAAACCGCGATGGTGCCCGCTGCGCCATATGGCTTTCCGTTTCTGTTCTTGAGTACTTCCAGAGCTTCCCCAACTATTGACGAGCAAGCTTGGGAAAAGATAGATTGTAGCTTCGTCAAATTCTCGATCGTGAGCGCTTGGTCTTGTATACTTGCGAAGCGTGTGGCGTGCTGAATGACGCTAGTTTGTGACTTCTCGTAGTCTTTCGACTGCTCGGGGGCCAGGGTTTTGATGGCATCGATCAATTGTTGTGAGAAGGTAGGCCATTGCTCTTCTAGCACAATGGCCATTCCTTCAATGCCTAATGCTTTAGAAAGCAGACTTGAAGCATTAGAAGGCACAGCCCAATGCGAGGTCTCTAGCGTCGGTCGCAGGTACTGCGTTATGATTGGTAGCACCATCTCCTGGAGGAGCTTGGTCTTGTCCTCGTCACTCAGTCGCTGAACCAGATACCCAGCCACTTCCAGGTACGCCTTGAATCCCGCTTCATGGTTGTACTTTGGCTCGTCCTTGCGGATAATGCCACCGTGCAGGGCGTTCAGCAGCTCCGCGGAGTCGGTGCTGGATTGTGGCAGAACCTCTTCTGGTATGATCCTCAACAGCTCAGGTATGCGGGCCCAGGTATCACGAGGTCCTAGTTGAGAACCCTTCTTCAGGAACTGCCGCAGGCGTCTGTCCACACCAGTCTTGCTTTTGTAGTCGGTAGTCCACACGGAGGGATGTCTGGAAGTGAGAAGGGTCAGAGACTCGACGTAATCGCCGACAGAACCGGTCTGGTCGGAGTTCAACCCCTCTGCTAGGTAAGCTTTGCTAAGTGTATCGAGGTTCTCCTGGACAGCAGCATCCTCCTTCGCAATGCATGTCCTAAGAAGACGGTGCACTGCGCGCCGTATGCCAGCGTCATTGTATGAAGCGAATTGCCACAGCTTCTTGTCGCCAATCAAAGTCTCGTAGTCGGCGTGGTACTTAGAGAGCTCCTCGGGCTGCAGATTATTCAACAGGCTGCCCAGTAAGGATATGCATGCCGAGATGACGCGGCTGTACTTTGCTTCCGCGTCGTCTTTGCTGACTATCCGCTCGTCACTCAGAGTCGCCGTGCTCTCCTTGTCCACTGCATCGCGACAGTATTCTAGTATGGGTTGCTGGTAGACCTTCCGAATGCTCTGTAGCTTTTCGGGTGTGTTGAAGACTTGTCGGAGTGAGGTCTGCGTCGCGTCGACTACGGATCGGTCGCTGTCATACAGACCACATAACCAAGCTGCCACGCTCTTAGGCATGTGTCGTGCTATGCGCTTGCCGGCGGATACGGCGAATTGGCCGTGGACGAGGTGGGCATTCTGGCGAACGGCTTTCGCGTTGTCGATCGAGGTTCGCGGGTATATCTTGATCCATGCCTCGAGCAGGCCTTCTTCGACTGGCTCTTGCAGTGACGATATGTACGATTGTATGTCTTCCAGCGCCTTCGCCTTGGTTGTGCTGTCTTTCTTGGACAGATTGCGGAAGTAAACGACGACGTTCGGGT